TTTCTACTAATTATATTTCTTCCTTATAATAATTATATTATTTTAAATTTTATAGGTATTTTGGGTAAGCCCTGGTTCGATCCCGATGACTTACCTCCACCGCCATACGCTGAACCATTAGTTGGAACTCGTTATTCACCACTGGTATTTCATATTTCATAAATATATGAACTGATATTTCAGAAATATGAAATTGTTTTAATAAATTGTATATGTCTTTTTATGTACATGAAGATAATAAGAAATAAATAAAGAATTAATACAATTACATAGTCTATCTGTCCATTTTATTTGTGGCATATAAACCTTCACATCAGATATAGAACGCCCGAAAGGTAGTACATATGATCAACTTGCTAAGACTCATAAGAAAAGCATACACGTACAATTGCCACATCCTCTAGTATATTTCTTCTTATTAAATAGGTGGTAGCTATTTTATAATGAGATGTTTGAGCTTATTTTGTAGCTTACATATACATATAAACTGCAAATCCATCGATTTATTGTACTGATATATCTTTCTATTTATTACTATTGTTTCTCTTCGATTTACTAATAGAATATCATTTTCAAAGACATTTTTATCTACAGAGTGGTATTTGTGCTATAAATTTAGTGAAGTTAAAATACTTAATGCTACATATTTTCAGCAGAATAAAGCTGGAATTATTAATATACGAAATACTTCTACGATATAGAATTATTCGATTATAGATATGTTCCAACTACTTAAAAAGATAGGATTATCTGATATGATAGAAAGAATACTATATAAAAGACTGTTAGATTTCTTGTCATATCATACATAATTGTAAAGTTCTGGTCTGTTCTAAAAAAACGGCACACAACAAACTCTAGCTCTCGTCATTTAAACAAAATAACTTTTATTCTATTAAAAGCCTGCTGGGAGCTATTCTTGTGTTGTCATATCTTAGCACAAAACTAAAGCCATCGAAGCAATATAAAACTAAACTATGTTCAATGAGTAAGAATTACACAATATATGTATATGATCTCGGTACTCGGTACCGATACCGGGAAAATTGCGGGGAAACTAACTAGACAAAGACGTAACATGCCTAGTAGAAGAATAAATAATGGTTGAAAGTCTTAAAAGTATGGTATAACCATTGCACTAGACAAAGACTAGACAAAGACTGGTAACATGCCTAGTAGAAGAATAAATAATGGTTGAAAGTCTTAAAAGTATGGTATAACCATTGCACTTTTCTAAAAGCAGGAGCATACAAATGGAAATTTTTACAAATGCAAACCAAAGTGGTTAAGCTATAATTTAATGCGAACTAAATTGATATTGTGCCAAGATCAATGAGTCAGTGCTGAAAGGCCACTAGCTAGACAACATTTATGTCGACAAAGTGGATGTCCATTTCAATCAAAATTGCAGAGATGCAAGGAAAAGAAGGGGGAAAAACAACTGAGCACTGTCTTTGCAAATGTCTAGGTCTGGTTACATTAAGACATTCAGTTATGGATGTCTACAGCAAAACAGTCTAGTTGTCAAGAAAACAAAAGCCAGAAAACAAACTATTTCTATTCCTATTCCAATTAAAACTGAAAATTGTTTTAAAAAAAAACCTCCAAGAAGGATAAAAATCAAACTGATTAACTTTGAAAGGTTAAGATAAGATATAGATAGGGTACCGGCTCTGAACGTAGTGGAGCAACGCGATCAGAGTTGATCTTTTATGCTGCAACTTTGAGAGGTTAATAATAATCGTTATTTTATAACAAAATTTTGGTAATCCATACATACATTTATAATTTTTTTCAACTTAATTTACTTTTTTTTAATTTACTAGATATAAACGTTATAAAGGCGGATTGTTAAATTGATATCGTTTTATAGTTCATAATCACGCATTTTAATGCATTTATTATTACACTGGGATTTATGTGTTGTCATCGAACATTTATTTAACAATAATGACACGCCAATCAATTACAAACCTATAAATCTAAATTACGTAGATAAATTTTCAATATTACGCATTCAGAAAAATAATTAAATACTAAAACCTTAAAGTACGACATCACTACGCCCATCACATTAGATCAGCCAAGTGATCGCAGATACTATTAAGAAAAGCATTTCCGACACTAACTTGAGTTCATTCAAGCAAGAAAAAAGAAAACGGACATATTCTAAAAGCTTCAGGAAATATTTTATAGAATATTTACGTATTTTTAGTTAAAGTTTTTTTAATCAAAATGCAATCTATTGAATATGGGTTTTTAAATGAAAAAAAAATATATATATTTGTGTCACTAAATCTAAATATAATATAAATGTGAGTACTTAATATTTTAAAAAGGTTTACCGAAGCAAATTGTTTCATATATAGTTTATTGTAGTGCTGTATGAAGCACTTTAATGCTCTAGTTTAGAATTATTTTTTTTTTATTATATATAAATTTATGCACTTACATATTTGTAAAGTTGTGAAACAAATTAATATAGAATATAGATATATATACAGTAGTTTATTATTGTTTCGAACAACATTTCCGAAGGAAAGAGAAATCGGTTCCCTCTCATGGCGAGCTTAATAAAACTATATTTAGTGTAAGATTGTTTTATTACTTAGATGCTGGTATTTTTATAATGCAAAAATTTAAGCGTAGATAATAATTATACAAAACATTACACCGGGAACAGTAATCATAGTCCATAACTCATATACGATAGACCAGTACTTTATTTCTTTATAAGCAGAAACTCCATAAGAGATAAATTTGAGGTTGCTCTATATTTTATGTTATGTTTGTATCTGATAAGCTTTCAAATATTCATCTCACTCTCTATAGTTTTGTAGAGGACGCTTAAGTTTTAAGTCGTAGTATGAGGTCTTTTGAAGCTTTCATGATAGGCGATTGGAGCCTTTCACAATAGGAAATTAATCTATAATTTAAAAATTTATTAATTGGGTTAGTGAGAAAATAAATTAAAATTTTTAAGGAAATTTGCTTTCTGAATGTGTAACAGATTAACGGAAAACGAGATCAAACTACGAAATAAATGTCAACGAGTAGTTTTCATTTCTACTATTAATATCAAGATATAGGATGCTGAAGGAAAGTCTTCACGAAAAATAGCTGATTTCAAAATACACCTTATATCTTAAAAATAATAAATCCAAATAACTTCAGTAGTAGTATATTTGGATACTTTATCTCAATGTGTATATATATGGGCTTGGAAACTATAATGATGCAACACTGGTTTCTAACCAGAAATATACTTCGGGTCTGTTAGACAATTTCAATTATTTAAACAAAATTTTATCTTAATAGTCATAATGTATTAACTATAAATAAATATATACTTTCTGCTCAAAAATTATCCGTATTTTGTTGTTTGTTAAGTATTAGAACTTTTTCAAAAATTTTTTGTTATGTTGGTACACCCTTTCTTGACATATGGTACAAATTTGAGCCCCATCTGTCAATTAGTTTGTTTACAGCAGCTGTTAATGTGAAACTACCTCAAGTGTATATAGCGATTTTTACTATGGAAAATTCTTGTTGTATGCGAATTTTTGACCAAACACGGCACCACTGTCATCGCTCAGGCACCATATTCGCCAGATCTGGATCCGTGCGACTTTTTCATGTTCCCTAAACTCAAATTGCTCCCTCGTGGTAAGTGTTTTGAGTCGATTGAATCGGTAAAAGAGAATTCGCTGAAGGAACTAAAAGCCATACCTGCACGGGCCTACGAAAAGTGTATGTAAGATTGGGTTAAGCGTTGACATATGTGTATCGCTTCAGAAGGAGCATATTTTAAAGAAGATAAAATAAATTTGAATTAAAATTTAAATTTGGGTGTTTTATTTACAAAATCCGAGTACTTTTTGAGCAGAAGATAAATAGTGATTCGGTTTATTTTGGGGACCTTTAGCTAATTATTTCTGGCCGCTTCTGATCACTTGTTTTCTTTAAAGAAATTTTTTCAAAAAATTTTTTTATTATTTTTTCAAAAACCTCATTTATTTCAAATTTTCTAAAAATATTATTTGTAAGAAAATTTATCTGTATTATCTGTTATCTGCTTCTGAAGCGTGTACTGATATTTTTTGAGCATGTATGAACAAATAATAAGTAAATTGTAGGTACATGCAGATAAAAGGAAAATTCTTTACGTGCTAATATATAGATAACATATTAGGTTATAGATAATAGGCAGATAAAACAAAAGATAATATATAAAAATATTTAATTTATTGAAATTATCTTATTTAAATATAATTTCTTTATTTTTTCCTTGATTCATTTTAATATTAAAAATAGACTTCTTGAATAAATGGTTTTTGTTACTTACGTAAATGAATCTTATCTAAAATTTACGCAATTCAGTTATAGAATTGGAAAAAGAACTTATGAGTATTATAAGGTAAATAAGGCTTTCCTTTGAAATAACCAAATAATTAAATATAAAATTTATTTCTCCAATTTACTAGTACTATAGTAGTAGAACCAATCACTAATTTTTTGGAACTCAAAAGGTCTTTCTTTGATAAAACCAATTAATTTAAAATATATATACAATTTTATTTCTCAAATTTACTATTAGTGGAAGATGTATTTTTTTTTTTAAACCAAGAAATTAATAAGTGTTGTTTACCTTAACATGACAGTTCCCACCATAAAAGGTATAGGGTTTTATATTCGTAAGGTGAATGTAAAAATATATTATTCAAAAATAATTATTCTTTTGAATTTAATAAATAATAAGGATAGATGGATTATTCCTCCTTACTTTTAATAAAGCTTTTAAAATAATACTAAATAATTTTTGAATTTAAATAATTTTATTGGATGATTTTGTACAATGTCTGTCTTAATGCCAACAACAAATATGCGAATAAATTAATATTATGTGAATTTTTAATTTTTATTTTTTAATCATAAAATTCTTTTTCATTAATTTTTTTAACAATTAATTAATAATTATTGTGATAAAATGAATATTATCTCTTTAAGGAAATACAAATTTTGTTATTTTACCACGCAAACAATTCAACAAAATATAAGCCGCCTCACAGTGATTTTTGACACCAACAGCTGCCGTCTTACAGGCGGTTATACCGGTACGGTACTCATCCTTATAATCTTCAGGCAAGAGAATATCAACCTGTTTAAGTGCGCCGTCGTATAGAAATTTGCCTTTTTTAATCTGAAATTAAGTAAAAAACTTAGAAAAATTTATTAAATTATTTTTAAATAATATATCTACCGTTTGCATCATTTCCATAATACAGTTAATATAGCATTTGGTGTCTGTATCATCGGGTATAATACCATTTCTTATATTTGCAGCTATTTCTATTAGTAATTACATTCATTTTAATAAAATGTTGTCTGTATTTATTATTTATTTATAATAATTATAATTAACAGATTTTTAAAACATTGTTTTTTATAAATACTATTAAAATTGTCAATACAGTTTTTTATCAACTGATTTTATAAACGTAAAATACATTTATCTCACTAAAATTTATCTCACTATTATTTATCTCACTAAAATTTATCTCACTTAACACATGTTAAGTACTTTCTAATATTTGTGCAGATTTACCAAAGAAAATGAAATCATACATATAGTTTATTGCAGTGCTATATGAAGCATTTTAGTGCTCCATATTAGAACTATTTTTTCCGTTTAGATTTATATAAAAATGTAAGTAAATAGCTGTGTAGTTGTAAAACAAATAGAAAATAAAAGTTAATAGAAAATGTATTTATATCGTTTGTACAAGTTTAGTTTGATTTTTCAGTAATATGTTAGTAATTTTTGTGATGAAGAGAAAATCTTAAGTGAAGATAATTTTTTTTATTTTTTTTTAGTTTTTTTTTTATTTTTTTTTAGTTTTTTTTTTAATTTTTTTTTTATTTTTTTATTTTTTTTTATTTTTTTTTATTTATTTATTTTTTGTTTATTTTTTGTTTATACGGAGGTTTAAAAATGCCTAACGTATCATCATTATTTCGTCACAATAGTGATATGCCCAGTTTGCACGAACTATCGGGAATACTTTAGAATTGAGTCTTGGTTATCCATTAATAATTTTTGTTTTTCTTTGAAAACAAAACCTTTTGTAATCCTTAATTAAAAATAATAATAAAAAGAAATATGGCTATACTAGGAGAACTACATGGACGGTTAAGCTTTGAATTTTAAAATAACTACTTTTATTTGAACTGTAAAACTATTTTCTTCTCTTAAGTCAGTTGATTATTAAATAATCTAGTAACTCTATATCTATATTTATATTAGGCACTAAAATGTTTCTAAGAGAAATGTTAGAGAGATAATTGTTTCATTCTGTATTTATAATATTCCACATACAATGGTTTGCATTATTAAAAATTATTTTTTTTTTTATATATATAGAAGTTAAATCCTTTGTTCATAACTTTGTTAAAGGTGTTAAAATAACATTAAAAATTTTTAAATTATTTAAAGACTTTAAAATTATTAATAATATTAAGTATTTTGTTAAGTCAATTCTTAAAAAAAACAAAACCAACCAAAAAATCTTAAATAAGATAGAATAAATAGAATAGATACAATAGAATAAATAGAATAGAATGCGATAAAATAGAAACAATTATTAAATTGTTTAAGAAAAGTTGAAAGGGATAGTTGCACTATTAATTTTTTTTTTTAATGAAACTTATTAATCGCTATTAAGATATAAAATATCTATCGGAATAATATTATTGAAATCACTTTAAAAAACTTACCCTTAGTGATCTTTGGATGCTTTTTGAGACATACGTCTTTCATTAAGTCAGCCGATGCCCACATTTGTTCTTCAGTTGCCTTTAAAGAAGTAATCATAAAAGTATTAAATTTAAATATTAATCAATAATTAATTTTTTTAAATAATATTAAATTATATATGTATTTAATAATAATAAATTAATAATTTTATATATAGAATTTTGTGGACTCAATTGTGAAAATAATATTAATTATTTTTAGTATTAAACTTTATTACAGCCATTGTTCAGTTAAAATTATGATTTTATTTTCAGTGATCTTTTTGTTTTGTATACTATTAGCTATTTATTATCAGTGATTATGCTTTCATAGATTTTTTAAACCACTTGATCTTTAACATGACAAGGATTAATATATAATCAAAATATTCAAAGAACACTATAGTATAGAAAATAAGACAGGGTATTATACCCTTTAAATATATTGCTCATACGTCAGTATTATGATATATCAATATATATATATACATATTGACATACATACTACATACTGAACTGTTGTTTTTTGTGGTGAGGACGTCATCGTCAGACCGACCGTCGTTAAAATGATGTGCCGACTCCCTAACATTATTATTCCCCTCGGAATCGCTTTTACTTCAAGAAGGGATTATGTGGGCATTTCAAGCCATGCTCTAGTGACTTTCCAGACCTCCACTTTTTTAACGCATTTTCTGCGCTATTTATGTCTGCACTACTTATTCGGCTAGTTTTGGTTATTCTTTCGAGTTCTATTTTCTTCGTTTTAAGAACTTGAATCATATATGATTTTATCGTTCGCAAGCTCTCTGTGTTCGCTCTAATCTTTTTGACTATACTTTCGGGATTAATTGGGCTAATATCTCTTTTCTAAATCTTAAGTACTTATAACCACGGTTACCACTTGAAAATTTTTTCCTGCACCAAAATTGGTTTAAAAAAGTACCATTTCTGTAAAAAAAGGTCCAAAACGAGTTCCGATTTAAATGAAACAACTGTATGAATTACACCGTTCCACCGATATAGTCATAGTTCGCTCATATCGTAATAATCGATAAAAATGATCCAGCTGGAAAGTGTTTAATTTAATACCCGCCGACGGATATGTTAGAGAAAATCTGCAGCTTTAGTGAATGGACTATTATAGCTGAGAAACAATAAGAAGGTATTTATTACCTTTATTTATCTATAAAAGTATATTGAAATGTATTCAAGCATGATTCTAATATATGAAAGCTAATTAAACTCTGTATTAACGAAAGTTAATCATATATTCATATTAAGTGCATGTATTTTATATGCTTACATCAAAAAATTTTATTTTTAACTAAAGCACTTAAGTGCTATTTAAAAGCACTATATGCTTTTTAATATTTAAGCCCAGCGTTTTATCAATACTACTGTGTGAATGCCAAAGATAGTACATAACTAAACAAGTGAGGCAAAAATTACGTGGCTGTGTCAATCTCTGTCTTTGTACTATGCTCAGAATTTCCTATCTAAACGGCATGTCTAACAAGGACCTATGGTCAGGGACAGGTATGGCCAACATTAACGTCGGTATTCAATATAATCTACAAGGCAACAAACGAGAGGTCTACCAAAAACGACTTGGAGAAAGACCACACTAATTGAAATTAACAGTAACGCAGGGTCTAACAGAAACAACTACATTATCATCAGTGCATTGAGAGATGTCGCGTTGCAAAGAAGGCAATGGAAAATACTTGTAGATTACCTATGCCCAGTATAGAGGTGGTGCGGAATCATATGACGCACAAGGTTTAATATATGGTTATTAATATCATTTATCAGATCTAAACAAATGTGACCTTTTGTTATGCATTTGTGTTAAGTTTCTAAGTCTTCTAGCAGGTATTCGTCCTTATAAGTTTTCTATCCTTGATCTACTATTGTTTGAAAACAGAAATTAGTTTTATTTTATGTAAAATATATATTCATTTTAAAAGTGCAAATTTATTTATTGTTTTTTTATTTTTATATTAATTTTGTGTAGTATATTAAAATAAACACGTTTTATTTTATTTTGTTTTAATTAAGAATTGATTCCCTTTACAGTTGATTTTTTTACAGCTGTGCTTTGTATTACCTAAATCCAATTATAATAATTTAGTAATTTTTTTTGTAATTAATAGTTTTTTCACAGCATTACTCTCGTTTTTTAAATCTAATTATTATTGGATTATGTTATGTTATTTATTTACACTGCAGTTTACACTATGGACTTGGCAATAAATATTGAGTCCTTCGACTCCAAGAACTATTCTGGCCAGCTCTACAGTTCTTCATTTGGTTTAATTATTATAATTTTTAATTTTTTTCTTTCTTAAAAAAATATTATATTCGTTTTAGAATATTTAATATTTTAATAATATTATATTCACTTTATAGGGTACTTCTTAAAGGAATTTAACTTTTTATTTAGAGGTGTTCACAATTTTTATAATAAATACCATACATAAATACTATTTATGTTACATTTAATATTGTTAAATAATTTCTTATAAGTATTATTTTCAAATATTTATCACTTTAATAAAAATATTTTATTTTTTTTTTAATTTAGCAGCATTTTTAAAAAACTTACACCGCCTAAAACATTCTTTATATTCGCCAAACAAATGATTACGATCAGAGCGGAAAAGTAAAATAATTTTCCCGACATTCTGGTGTATCTTTTGAAATAAATTTATTTTACTAAAATAATAAAATTCTTTATAGCAGAAAATATGAAAAATTTTTAAATTTATTTCAAGAAAGCAAACTGCTTTTATAGCAAAGGTAATGCGAATTCTACGCATGATTGGAACAAAAAATATGAATGAAATCATTAATTTTCTCTAATTTATCTTAATTATGGAGCTACTAACTAAAGTTAAGTATCTTAACTTTACACAACATAAAAGAGTACAATCACTATTAAAAGAGTATATTACAGTACATTTTTAATTTACCATAAGGTAAATTACAGTACATTTAATTTTATAATATGTTAAAAAAAATAATTATGTTATATGTTATATTGATTGTTCTGTTATTTCTAAAAGTGATATTGATCCATTTCTAACAATGTAATGGATTAATAATAGCTTCAGTTGATAGATGCTATCAACTTTTTTTCATAATTTTAAACATAATTTTAATGGATTAAAGTACACCAATAAATAAATTTATAGAACTTGACAGTTATATGTTACCGCACATTTTCTTTTATATTAGTCAAAGTTGAACCCATAAATACCTTGATATATCAGGTCGAGAAATAACGTACATGAAAAAAAAACAATTTCTTAAGATTACTTATTAGAATAATTATATTGAATATTAAAAATTTTGAAGTTGTTGATCTATATATGTTCCAAATATAAGCAATGACAATACAACCGCATATTAGAACACGGTAGTGAGATTCTATTGGGAACAGTGGTGTAATCGGCTAAAGACGTTAGAAACTATTCTTAAGTTCTTGGCTGAATTTTTAAGCATGATATTTACTTTATTGCTTAATTTAAGTTATTTTAATAACTAGTAATTATTAATTATATTCAGTAATTATTAAGAACCTGTAACTAAAATTTAAAAAAAGATTTAAAAAAAAATTTTTAAATTAAATAAAAAATAAATTAATTATTTAGACTTATTTAGAATTCAAACATTCTACATTTAAATAATACCTTTATGTGCATATATAACGATAAACCACATACATATTGTTTATGACATTTGCACATTGTCGATTGATTCTACAAATATCAAACACTTTATATATACATATGTGCTTATATCAATTACGAAATAAACCCCTTCATTTCACTCACGCATGCAGTTAATTTTGCAAGTTATCACTACAATCAGAATTTATATTTATATACTCATGAAAAACTTATAAACAAGAGCAAAACTCTCTTGACAACACTACTCAGCAGAGTTTCCTCTTCTCTCCAAGTAGCGCTAAACATCATTTCATTACCACAAATCAGATCATGAAAATCTTAGTTTAAAAATCAATCTATGCGATTGACGTTTGAGATAACGCCAGTCTCCATAATTCGTAGACTTTCTCAATTTTTATATTTCTAGGCACTTGCAAAGAAAACATCTATTTAATAGATTCTTTTTCAGCTCTTCTCGCTTGCAGTTTCCTTATTTCTGTTTGAAAGAGCAAAATAATGGACAACAAAATTGTGCTGGGTATGTGCAGAAAATAGTTAGATGAGTGTAAAAATTGCTTAAGTATGTGACCCTTCAGTTTACTCATATTGTAGATCATATTGTACTCATGAGCATTAGCGATTAATCATGCCCATGTGTGTAACCAAATGTATATTTTAATGGATACTCTTCCTCATAAGCGTAAACTCGTATAATTAAACTCTCTCGTGTATCTGTGGATTTTTTTTCAAAATGTGTAGTAATAAATTTCTCATGAGTAAACAAATACAAACTCTGACAGCAACCATATTATATATCTACTTTGTGTAGAAAAAGTGAGGAGTGTAGATATTACTTATATAGGAAGCCTGTTTACCGAAAAAGCAGGATAACTTCGACAAGACATATTAACAGAAAAAGGTCTCATGGATTATTTATGCTCTACAAGTCGTAAATATATAGCGCTGCATCTGGAAATATCATTTATGTTGTTTCAATAGTTGCAGTAGGATGCCAGTGGCAGCTAATCTTGCAAAAAAAACCGGGGTTCCAAGAAAGAGACCTGTTGTGGTAAGAATTGCAGAACCAAAAAAATGTGTACAAGTTCTCTTTAATATTAAATCCATGTATTCTCATATTAAAAGCACTTTTGATAACTAAAATGAAAAGGAACAAAACAAGTTCAAAGGAAACAATATTTGATGTTTATTTTATTGGAGGAGATATAGATATACATAATATAATATATAATATACATTATAATTTACTATACAATATATTAGCGTTGTTATTATATAGTAGCTATAATATATAAAATAATAATATTATTATTACTAGTTTACCTTCACATTTTCCTTTCCTAACAACATTGAAGAAGGTATAGATATATTTATATAAAATTATATACTTAAATATATTGAACAGTTTCCTCTTTATTTTATTAAATCCTATCTATACATAGTAGAAGAATTTTAACAGTCTTACACACATTAAATATCGAGATATTGTCAGTATGAGAACTTCTGCGATCTAAAATTTTATGAAGATTTTATAACAATCCGAAAATGTTATATAAAGGTATATTAATAATACCTTGCATAGAAACTTGTTTCCGAAAGGCTTAAAAATGCGTAGACCTCGTATTTAAATTAAGCTGCGAGGACGGCTGTAGTTTGACACGCTGCTTATAATTGCAACGTTGTGTGAAAAGTCAAGCTTGCAAAAAAACGGGCTGTCACAATTGTCACTTGTCACGTGATAAAGCCGAATACATCTTACCGAATCGAAGTCGAATTAGTCGAATCTTAGTTTTTGCTTTTCGTCAATCACTCTTAGTCATTTGAGAGCCGTGAAAGAGTTCAGTTGTGATCATTGAAAGTCTAACCGAGGTTTCCAATAAGTGAAATATTGAGTTTAACGTAAATTATTTTAACATAAAAGTGAAATAAGTTAATTGCAGAAAAATGGCCTATATGCAAAATTATAATAAGTGTGAGTAAATTTCCTTAACTTATGATATATTGAATAAAATGATTAAAAGCTTGAATGAATGTTAAATAAAAGTTAGAAAGAGATAGCATTATTATTTCCAATTATTTAAAAAAAAAATTATATAAAACTCCACGGCCTTTATACAATTTCATATATACTATATGTATTAAATTCACTTGTTGTGAAATACTTCTATTAACTCGGTATCTACACTATCTATACTTTGACAATATATTTTTGTTTAAAACAAAAATATTTATGTATTAGTGAAAAATTGAGAGTTTATATAAAAATGTTGGCAAAAATTAAGTAGTGTGGGTGCAGGGTAAGTGGTTCGTAATGATCTCTGATGTGCAGAAACCAGGAGATAATAGCATTATTCACTTCGGCTGAGTACGAATAAATAGGCTTCGTGTTTCTGTTACAGTTTTATAAAAATATGTGTATTTCATATATCTTATATATCTTTTATAGTTGCTTGGGCGTCTTTACAGTATAGTTTATTTGGCAAGATTTTTATGTAGTTGTGAAAAACTGCGAGTGTATTGAAAGATCTTGTCAGAATCTAATCAGTGTAGAGTCAATATATCAGATCATATATATGTATATCATATATATGTTTATATGTATATCATATATATGTTTATATGTATATCAGTTTTTTTAAATGCTGATTAAATGATTTTTTATTAAATAAATACATATTGAAATAAAGACGTTAGATTAATATAGTTCTCAACGACTCCAAACAAAAAATGATTACTCACAGCATATGGAATTCAGTTCCATGGAAATAAATTTTTATAAATAGCGAAAAACAAATGTTTCATCCTTTGAAAAAATGAAATTAAATTATACTTCAAAGGATGAATTATTTCAAAGGTTTTTAATTAAATAAATAGTTAAAATAAGAATCTCTTAAAAAAAGGAAATAAATGGTGATATTGTGCCCAAAGACTCAACTCCATAAATCCCAATACTATGGTTTTCTCTCTTAGTTCCATTAAAAAGATTACGTCACCTGTGAGATACTTTTTAATAGTTAATAAACTTCCAATTATATTTTAATTTATTTATATTACATAGTAGTATATTATTTTTCTCTACAAAACTCCACGAAGAAAAATCGGAGCCACCATGTTCCTATATTTTATATCAAAACATATTTTTTGGAGTTGTGAAACATTTCAGTTGTGTCTTATCACTCAACCAGAATCAAACAAATACAGTATTGACCCTATAACTAACTATATATAACTAAATACAGATTATATAAAAAAACCTATGTTTGCATATTTTTATAGTGGCTTAATCATAGGCCAAGCTAGATATAACAATATACAATATAACGAGTAGATAGGAAACCAATGTTATTGTCATCCACACACACGTATGAAACTTAACGAAGCGTTTGAACAAAATACATACTTCTCTACGTATGACGAACTCTTCGTACATGCGTTGTGTGCACTGAAAAAATAATTCTGTTGATATAACCATATTTTACATAAGTCTCAGGTCCAAATATTCTTTCTTAACGCATCATGTTGATTAAACCATACCACATGTTGGTGTTCATATCTTTTTTACCATATGAGCTAAAATTTCTCTAAAAAAAATTTTTAGAACAATTTAACTAGTATGTAGTTAGAGCATATGTTTCTGAGTATACAACTTGTCAGATTTCTATAGCATTTAGCGCAAATGATGAGAGAAAACATAATTTTCGATAAGTTTCTATCCTTTCGTTGTGTCTATTGAGGGCTAGATTTTATTTCCTCTAGTTTGTTAATATACTTGCAATTTATTATAAACAAGTATCGAAGACCTCACATGAAAGTGAATTCTTGGCTTTAAATAATAATATTTTTTTTTTAAATCAGTATATAAATATATATATTATGAACTATAATCACATTAGTCATCTAGTAATCATAAATTTCGTAAAAACATTTTTATCTTTGTTTTCATCTTTATTTTAACCATCCAATACTTATAATAAGTGAGATTTTTCATTGTAGCATGCTTGCTATATTCGCCAAGACCGACAACATAAACGATTCTTAACGTTATTTATTAGTCTTTTGTTTTATTTATGTAGAGTCGATGACATGAAAATCGAAACTTGGTAACCTATAATTTATGTAATTGGGAGAAAGACTATACATTTGATAATTAATATTTATTTACATAAATAAATATTGAATTTGTGCTCAAAGTTGAATTTTGTTTACTATATTTGCTTTATATAATTTTAAGAAATAATTAATTTAAATGTTTTCGTTAGAAATGGAAAGCACCAAAAATTAATTATACTATAATTATTCTAAATATTTTTGACATATATATAAAATACATATTTATACTTATAAGAGAACTGAATATTTTATGAATAATTTATTATTATATTAGAACTTCCATTATATTATTGATAAGACTTTTTCTATCTTGACAAGAATTCATAGGTTATGTAGCCCAAAACAAATCGTATATACATATAGTATTACTAAGAAACACTTAGGTACTTAAATATTTCATACATTTATTAACGGAATATCCGATGTAATTCCTACTCAGTTAAGAGAACTGTAATTTAGATAAACGTCGCTTTATTCAGATTGACATGCAAGTACTTAAATTACTAGTTTTGTTTTAAATTAAAAAATAAAAATATTTTAAGGTTTTTAATTTATTGTATATTATTAAGTTAATTCTGGGACAGCCCGTTATCAGCAACTATACAAGTATTTAATTATAGTATAGAGAATGAGCTGCGAAAATCATCAGAATAACTGAAAAAATCTAATAAAACAAAATAATAATGTTTGTTAAAAATTACATATATATAATATATACAAGCTCCCAGAAAATTAAAGGTAGAAGAACAAGAAATAGAATGGGCCGATACTCTCAAATACCTAGGCATAACCTTTGATAACAAGCACTCCTGGAAAGCACATTTCAAGTCCAAACGAGCTCAAGCTGCCCGAATATTACACTCCCTTCACCCGCTCATCAGCAGCAAAAAGCTCAACATAAAGAATAGTGTTAGCATATTTAAGCAAATTATTAAGCCAGGACTACTTTATGGACTACGTAAGAGGAGCGGATATCCACAGAGATCTGAGAGTCGATTCAGTCGAAAAATACATTAAAGATCGTGCTCTGAAACTGTTCAATATAATTGGCAGTCACAATAATCCAACTCTCAGCATCCTAAAAATACAGCGAAATTTGATAACCACAGGCAGATACAAAGACATCAGATCCATCATATTATAAAGCCCCGTAAAGCCCCGTATTTAGTGTGACTTAAAACTGTCCACAGATAAAATAGAGTAAAGGTGCTGATTCACCAACTCAGACATCTGAATATCATATATATATGCTTCTGTTATATGTTAAAGAAATAATTAAAGCAAAAATTACTTCACTACATCTACTTCCTTAACATTTTTATTTTTAATTTTTAATTAAACAAAACGTACTTATACAAATCGTAATAAAATAGATATATCACCAAATAGGTACATAGGTACATAGGTACATAGAATACAAGTCTCAGCGCGAGAATATAAACTTCTATACGTTAATAAAATATCAGCAAACATACGACTGCTCTCAGAAACACAGCAGATGGATCATAAGGTTCAATAAAAAAACACAGACAATACTTATTCAGCTGGAAGTGTGGAGATAACTCTTTTCGTCGGCAGTATGTAAAACCACTTGAAGAACATAGAACACATATCTTACTACTCTCGCTTTATAATAGCACGAGGACCGTTTTCGCTTTTTTTAGAGAGCCAATAATCATCGCCAGTTTGATACAAGAAATGTGTGACTCAGTAGAAATGTCGTAGTCGTAGTCAACAGGCTTGTCATTGGCAAGGGTTTATCACTGAATTCCTCAGTCTAGTAATGACAAAACTGAGAATAAGAGAGCATAGTCGCTAAGTACATAATAATATACCCAAATGACAAAGGAAGAGTTTACTAACTGATAGATTGAAATTCTATGGTCCGGACGTAATTCCGAACATAGCTGGTGTTCTTAAAGACACATACTTCCACAAGAGACAATTTCTGTTTCTACACAACAATAATAAAATTAATGCTCTTGATGCTAATTTTGGAGTATAATATTTTTTGAGATTATGTATATAGTATAAGACTTATCTTTATCTTTATTTTGATACTCGTATTTCAGTTTCAAAAAGGTAGATGGATTTCAGAAAAATCGGTAATCTAAAAATCTAGTTCATATTTACTTATGAACTTATTTTGTTTTAAGGGCATATATATTATAAAATAGATAAATCTAATAGAAAATTGATCCGAAATTGTTGAGAAATTTTAAAATATCATGTATTGCGAGAACGCATTCTACTACTTTTAAGCTAAAAGGGACTATATGAGGGGTGTTCAAAAAGTTTTCGTGCAACTTACAAGGAAATGATTTAGAAGTCCCAAAAGATAAAGAGAAATTTGGATGAGTTACGATAGTCATATATGAAGGTCACCATTTATGCTGAATTGACTCTGAATCCAGTGATTTCTTGTGTCCTTGCTGAATTAAATATGAATCTAGTGGCCTCTTGTGTCCTTGCTGAATTGAATACGAATCCAGTGGTCTCTTGTGGCAATTACAGCAGCTCTTTAAAAACTGAGATATTACCTTGAAACCGATTCTCGTTTCAGTAAGTAAAGAAGTCATGGTTTAATAAAAAAAAACCCTCCTGATATAAAGAAAAATACTTATAAAAAAAAGATATGTCTGAAAGGCCACCAAGCAATAAGTTTCCGTCTACGAGAGCGGTAGCGACATCTAGCGGAAACTAGTATAATATTTTTTTTTTAATTTTTAAATAATATTATACAAATAAATAAATTATTAAAATTATTATTTTAAACAAAATTTTAACCATAATTAAAAATTAAAATAAATGCTTAATTCATTAAATATTAATGAACATTAAATATTAATAAACAAAATAAACATTTTTTATATGTTTTAAGATAGGTAAATCTGAACAATTTAACAAATAAAAAAAAACAGTTTCATTACCTAAAAATACTTAATAAAATCAGAATTATTGATTAAATGCCAAACCCGGGAGTGGTTTACTCCATTCCGTTCTGAAAACTTCGGTGTCAGAAATGCGAGAGTTATATTAAGTGTTTTGGAAGTATTCAAAGGGACTTGTCTATTAATAGCTGCTACAGCCAGATATAACCATTAATTCACCCCTCTACTACATACAACTCGACCCTTTGAAGGTAACTATCAAGAAAAAGAGACCAAGACTGGTCCACTGAAGATAAGTTATGTTCTACCATGCTAATACCAGGGCATATATGTCTTTAATGGATCCGAACAAATTGTCCGAAATTAGTTAGTAAGTTTTACCACCACATAGCCCGAACCTGCTATCATCTGATTGCTATTAGTCAGGGTATCTGCAAAACTTTATTGATGGTAAAAAATTGACTGAGCGAAGAACCACTAATCCAAGTTTTTTGTCAATAAACCACTGAAGTTCTACACAGATGGGATTGCTCTTAATTGTTATTCGTATTAGATACAATATTAAAACGATTTTTGTCCATATTTTAAGAATCGTTAATAAAATGAAAAAAAAATGGGACTATGAAACTTTTGGAAAATGGGACTAGCAAAAAGTCGTCAATATAAAGTTACTTATATTAAATTATTTAATATAAATTATTAATTAATTTTATTATGTTGAAGCTCTTTGAGCTAGTGCACTTGAACACTATTACGCCTTGACTGGATTAATGTTTATCACTTCATCAGACTAAGCAATAATTGACCTTATATCTGCATACCTTCCCGAGGAGCCTGTAACCATTCTGAGATTTGATAACGCGGTGTTGGTAGATTAATCTTAAAAATGTTCCAAAAAATGGTAGATACTTTTTATAACACCTAATATAGTTTTAACATAAAATGCTCTCATTAATTAATCAACAAGTTTTAAAAATAATATAATAAACTATATATTTTAATAAAGTTAACAAATGGAATAACTTTTAAAACACATTTTTTAAAAATTTTTCATTACTTGAAAGAATTAATCAATTAATGATTTTTAAAAATAATTACTAAAATATATATTTTAATAAAGCTAACAATTAGAATATCTTCTAAAAATAATTTTTAGAATTTAGGCCCTGTGCAAGCTTGAGTAAATTGATGGTAAATTGAGGGAAATAGTGAATTATGTCGGTATGGCAGCGAATGTTGGTATTTACAAGAATTTTAAGTAGGATAAACTAGATAAAAATTAGGTAAATTAGGTGTTACCATTTTGAAAATTTTAACAGATGTTTAATAAATAAATAAATGAATTTGAAAACGTTTAACCAAAGATAATAAATAACTGCAATAAATAAGTAAATAAATATTTACATAAGTGCAGTGTGCAAAAAAATCCTTAGGAAATTCTAGTTTACTTTACCTCAATGTACTCGAACTCGCACACGGCCTTAATGAATTATTTATTTTAGTAAAATTAACAATTAGAATATCTTTTCAAATAAATTTTGTCGAGCTGGTGCTCTCTGTACAATTACCTTCCACATTTATTTATTCAATACATAAACCAACCATAAGTTGTCACAAAGAAAGAGACAACACTATATGCATATATGACAGAAATGTCGCTTAATCAACAACATCGCCAAATAGAAGGAGTCTGCAATTTACTATAACTCAAAGTTTTTTAAAGAAAACCTGTGCTGCAGTCGTGTTCCCCGCTTAAAAACGATAGTTTTAATAATATATAATTAATTAATTTCATAGTTGGATCAATATTTTATACAAGAATGCCTGTTAAAAATGACGGTGAATCTGATGAAGCCTTATCCGCTGAATCTGAGCATTCCAGCCACGGTGGACATGAATCTAGTGGAGATGACGAAGAAGCTAACGAATCTGACGATTCCTCTGAAATGGATATGTCTGAAATAGAGCGGCGACGTGCGGAAAGTTTATCGGTTATAGGTAAGTAATATTGCAACATAACCAACTACATAGTTTGCAATATGTTTAATAAATTAAAATAAATGAAAATATTGTTTTAAATAAATAATAAAAATTTTTTATTATTTGTAGCGAATCTGGAGTGCCAATTTCAAACTTTACGTGAACAATACTATTTGGAACGCATTAAGCAACTTGAGCAGCAGTTGAATGCGGTGCGTAATGGCACCTCTGAAGAATATTTGCAGCCACTCAATGAGTTGGAGAAAGTGCTTCACAATCGGGTTGAAGTGGCGGACGTACAACGAAAGTTGAGATTAGAAAACATTGAACATAAATATCATTCAGAATTACAAGCAGCACAACAAAATTTTGAGGTAAAATTACTACTTTCATAAAAATAGTTATCAAAAATGAAATGCGTCCAATCAATGCTTACAGAGTGAAAAAAAATTGGCATATGATCAAATACATGATGACCTAATGGATAAAATACGACGTTTAGAAGAAGATCGCCATAATGTAGATATATCTTGGGCAGATTGGGGTACCGATAAACGTACCAGTAAAGTACGCGGTCCAGGGCGTAAAAAAGCAGTTACTGTTACTGGACCGTATATTGTATACATGCTGCATGAGGAAGATATAATCGAAGACTGGACGGCAATTCGTAAGGCAACAAAGCGTTCTCAAGCTACAGCTGCGGCTACCGCAGCCACATGATTGTTACTGTAATAATGACTACCAAACTGAGCTTCCAGCAATGTACAACAGTAATATTTAGCTGCGAAATTACTAACGCATCTTACTGACACACTTAAATAAAGTGTGCCGTGAAGCAGACTTATACTTCAACTTAGTTTTATAAGATGTAAATTTAAATAGCAATAATGCCCGCACACCAGTTCTTAATAAATTAATCATTGTACCATTTAATTAAACAAAATACATTAAAAAAGCAAATTTTTCAAAACAAAAACTAATGTTTTCCAAACTTTTATTTAAAAGAATCTATTGTAAAATTTTCATAATTACTTTAAACCGATAATCTAATAATTAGTAGCCGTTATCTTTAAGAAACTCGCGTACCACATCAACGTAATCTCCATGGAAATATATTTGACGACTCATTTCATTCACACGACTTGCACAAGTCTTACCATCCCGCGATTTTTCCACAACCGCACGTAAGTCTTTCTCCAGTGCCCATATATCACCTTGTATCCGACGTATCGCAGTAATACGACGTTGCCCACGGTAATATCTTTTCAAATAAACTGGAATCATATGATTTGCTGTGCGTGCTACATAATATTTCAACTTGTCTGGGTTATTAAGCGCGGTCGGTAATTTCCATCCAGAAGGGTATTCTTTTTTCACCTCCGGCTTTGGTACAATTATTTGTGGCAAAACGCGTTCAACATATTTCCATTCAGGAGGATTGTGTACAACTTCGACATTTGGATATTCTTCAAGTGGTCGCACTTTGGGTGAACTCTGAAAACTGGAGTATCGCGTAAGCGTGAGGCAGGCGGGTGTGAAGTCACGTAACTGGTAGAAAACGAAATTTATATTGTCACCGGAAGAGCAATAATAGGTCATAAATAAAATTGACATACCTTTATAATGTTTTCCAACTGATATTTTATATTATTTTTACCAATTAATGTTGAAAATAAATGCCTTTGCACACCTGCCATATTTATTTATTTTGTAATAAAATATTTTCGGTATGCAGCATGCAATACAAACAAGGCTGTCAATTTCAAAACAGCTGTTGTGGAACCTGAGTGGATCGTAATATTTATAGGAAGAAATTTATCATTTTATTTACTATATTAGTCTATTTCCAATAAATTGATGATAAACTGAGGGAAATAGTAAATTATGTCGGTATGGCAGCGAATGTTGGTATTTACCATAATTTCAAGTAGGGTAAATTTGATAAAATTTAGATAAATAAGGTGTTATCATTGTGAAAATTTTTTAAGATGTACAATATATATATAAATAAATTTGAAAACTTTTAACCAGAAATAATAAATAAGTGCAATAAATAAATAATCAAATATTTTCATAAGTGCAGTGCAAAAATCCACAGGAATTTTCAATACTAACACTAAATACTAATTTCCTATCATTTTTTTTTTGTATAATAGTTGCAATCGTTAATGAATTTGCCAAGCAATGCAGAGATATATTTACTTTGCTAAAAATTGACATTTCTGAGAATTATTGACAATGGCGTTATGCCATGTTTCCACTGGTCTCACTAAGCAGATTGCTTGTTAAGACAGCTGTTGAGTATAATTTATCATACAAAGAGCTTTCATAAAAATGAACTTATTATAAATAAATCAATGATTTAAAGTGAAATATGTCGAATGCTATCGTTTAAAAATAAATTCTCACTAGGGAATTACCAAAATTTAAAATATTTGTCATATTTCATATGTAAAATGTAATACTACTGACTTAGTAAGTATAACTTACTTAGTAAATTTTAATAGCCAAGCAAACACCTTTTATGCTTTTTAACTTACTTAAAGATAAAGCAATGAAAATTAGACAAAAACAGTCAAATACAACCTTAAAACTAAATTTCCCACAAGGGAAATTACCAAAATTTCGTGCTTTTTAAGTTACTTAAAATAAAGCAATGAAAATTTGACTCAAAATGTTGAATGCAACTCTTAAAAATAAATTGCCCACAAGAGAAATTACAAAAATTGTGCGAGTTAGGCTAAGTTGTGTTCTAAATGAGGGAAATTCTAAGTTGTAATGTAGTTATATGTTGATACGTGTTAATAAATGGCTAAATGTGTGCAGTGCAAAAAATCCCAAAAAATCTCCTATTTAGTTTAGCATCAACTTAGCCTAACTCGCACACGTCTGACTCGGTCTTACGATCTGACACTTTTTCAGTCTTGTATGTTACAGTTAGTAACAAGGGAGTTATCAGGTTTATTTCAACTTAAAAACCGTGAAAAATAAGCATATCAATGCACATTAAGAAACGAGTTAGACATTTTATCTATGTAAAGCCTGAAATCAGCACATTTTTCTAGTGAGGTACTAAATCTACTCTCCATCAAAGACAGTAGTTCTACTAATTAGCAACATCTTAAATAAATAAAAAAAGGAAAACAGTTTTTACTTCCTAACCTTAGACATTTTTCGATAAATAATGAATTCACTTGAATAATAATAATAATTTTTACCGAAACATGACTATTGTTCCCTGAAAAATACCGATAATGTTACAAAACTTATACACCTCATTATTATTCTATGATATCGCCCATATCTCTGCTCCATACGGAAGCGTTAATACTAATTAATACTAATCTAAAACGCGCTAGTTTTCTTTGTGGAGAGAGAATTTTACAGTTTAGTTCATAGTAATACCTATTGGTAATGGTTCTGCGTTGATGTCTTTTTTTTTTTGGCATAGATATGACAGGGCATGGATATATAAAACCTTTGTCAGGTTCCAATATCAAATCGCCAGGTAAGAGCAGTGTAATGCTCAGTTCAGATTATAGCTAGCGTATACTTAGCTTTATACTCAGTCACCGCCAAGCCCATTTTTATAGACACTTATACAAAGTATATACCAAAATTACATGGGGTATATATAATATAAAGAATGTAATATTGCGTTATGTTTCTCGTTCACTATAGATTTGTTGACCCAGGGCGAATTATAATGACTTTGAAATGGTATTTTGCAACTGGGAATGTTTTTCTTATTTAACTGGTGACAGATCTGTTAATTATCGGTTAAGATTTCATTAAGATTGGAATATTGTATTAAAAATGACTGTAAAACACAAATGATTGATATTTAAAATGCATATTTAATAATAATAGTATAATATTGGTATAATAGTCCTTGAATGATCTGCAGGAATTAAATACTTTACCTGATTTTCACTTTGAAATATCAGATGTGAAAGATGTTCCACGTTTTGGGGTACCTCAATAGTGAAATAGTCGATTAAATTGTGAATATGATAAAAGAATATCAGAATGTAAGCCTTAACGTTTTAATAAAAAGCTGTAGATCAACCACAACACAGTTTTGGAATATTTGCATAAAGTTAAATACTACAGATTTTTCAGTATTTGGGTGCCTTAATAGTTCAGTGTAATGAATTTAACGGATCTGTTTAAAGACTTCGTGAGTGAATTCGGAGTCGATTGCGCCCAATCTGTACTCTTATCTTCTCGACTGGTACCCTGAGCAACTCAGAGGAAGATACGATAACCAATCTGTGTCGAGGATTGGATTATAGAAAAAAAAATCTTCGATATATTGTAACCAAATATCCATTTAACAAACATGCATCACTGCAGAAATACATATGATTACATATGTATCTCAATGGAATTTTACTATATTGTCATGAATACCTTTGTCTAATGTCATGAATTTCATGCTCCTTGCGCTGATATCTAATGAATCCCTAAAGGATATTATCTAAAACTATAAAAAGTTCTTCAAATATCTTAAGTTATGAAAAATTTAAAAATTAACTAAAATAAAAAATAAATGGATAAAACCATAAGACCTGTTAAGTAAGAAAGAAAGAAAGAAAGAAGAAAGTGTAAAGCTAAGTGATAATTTAATGGTAAGTGTGTAGCTTGTAAGTATGTATATATGTACCCCTTATATGTTGATTCAAGTCACGCAAAAATTTTCTATTATATGTCCTAACCTATTAGTTCACAAAGATTATAGGTTCTGTTGAATTCGAATATGCGGTGTCCCGTTAAGAGTTGAGATATTTCCCTAATCATAAAAATAAAAATAATTGTATAAAACGGGGTTCATTTTCTAAATTACTTAATATACATGGTGTCAAATAAGAGACACCCAAAAACTAATCTCAGTCTAAACACCATCTGCACATAACAAACCAGTTAAATCAGATAACAAAATAAAAAACCAAAATTCCTCAGAGCGTATGAGTGATTATAAAATATATTAATGCATTTTTGTTGAAAAAACTATAGGTTAAATAATTTAAATCGCATGAAATCAGATAACTTCGATTTCTGAATTATTCAGAATTAAAATTAAAATCTATTCATAATGCTTTCCAAGCACTAAAAAACCTCTTATAGGTCTAACTGGATTATTATATGCAATAGTTCTAAAATGCTACATTAGAATGGCGATATAAAGAAATCGGGTTTATCTTAAACTGAATAGGCTGCTGTGATATTAATGAAAACTAAACCTATCAAAATTTGAAACAACATTTTGAACTTTGCACCAAGCTTGACTCCTTGCCAAGAGGAAGCTTATACCATTCAGTAATAATATATTTAATGAACATCCACCGGAAGAAAAATATTTTCAAGAAATATACCACATAGTCAAAATTACAGCAACATTTTATATAGCAAACATTGTTTTTTTTTTCCTTGATATTATGTTGTGTATCATTCCAAATATATCATTCCAATATATAAACATATTGAAAAAGATTTGAATAACAAACTAATAAGATTTCAAACGAGTAAATGATTGAATCTTAAAGTGAACCTAATTTCTACAATTACAAGAAAAGTGATTGTTTCATATGTCACATATTAGTTCTTATCCTGATAGTGATTCTCAAAGAGGCTCGAAATATAAAATATATTAAGAAATATTGAACGTTTAGTAACCTGTAGCCGGATATAAAATATATATTAAAAAAACATTATTAAAAAAATCAGGTCGAGAAACAAATTCAAAATTTAATGGCTTATATTTAATTACTAATATTACTTACTTACATACTTATTTAGCCATAACAACCCGTTACCGAGTTTCGACCTGATTCAGCATGACTTTCCAGGCGCCTTTGATGCGTGCGCGCCTTCTCCAGTCTCGTCCAGTTAGTGCTCGCCGAACTTGATCACTCCACGGGAGACACAGCCTACCTCTACGCCTTCTTCTTCCAACTATTGCTTTACACATCTTTTTCGCTGAGGTATCTGTATCCATTCTTACAAAATGACCAAACCAGCGAAACCGCTGAATGTTAATTTACTGAATTATATCAATGTTGTGATAAAACTCATACAGCTCATGGTTCATTTGTAAACGGTAGTCGTTCCGAACTCGTAGAGGACCCAAGATCTTACAAGAACTTTTCTCTTGAACACTCGCAGTGCTGTTTTATCATTCTGTGATAACGTCTCTGCTTCTGCGCCATATAGAAGCATAGAAAGGATAAGCGCCCCATAGAGCGTAAGTTTCATTTGTCGAGAGAGAGAGCTTTACGTCTACTACAATTGCCTACTAAACCCATAGCAGCACCTATTAGCAATGGTGATTCTTTGTCTGATCTCATTATTTAATTTCATTGTTGTTCGTTAGAGTGGTGCCAATGTAGATGAAATCCTTGACAGATTCGAAGGTATAGTCGCCAGCCACTAGCTACCCCACCGAGCAACGCACATTTCTACCAGTAACCGACATATACTTCGTTTTGCCCTTACTCATTGCTAAGCCCATTCTTATAAATTCCTTTCGATAGCAGCGAAAGCAGATGTAACATCAAGTTTGCTACGCCCAATGAATATTAATATTATTAATATAAACTGTTTTTTAATAAAGTTTTTTAAAACATGTAAAATTTACATGAATTTTATTTTTTTTTATTTTATTTTATTTTTCAATGTTTTAATTTTATTAAAACGCTGAAATTGTCTCAATGTCACTTTGGTGACAAGTTATAAAAAGGTGCGCTGACTCTGACTTTCAAATTTGGCAGGACACGAGTTCGATTCCTGGTAATTGCAGTAATAAAAATTATTTACGAATAAATAAATACAAGTATTATTTCCAAGATCACTGATGATGATGGGTATTTGGCAATACTCGAAACAGCTGTATGGTCAGCCAAAAATTCAATAAATTAAAATAATATAAAATGAATTTTTGTTTTTGTAATTCACTACTGTTCGAAAAACCTCTTTATGAAATATACTAGTTTCTATTAAAAAAAATAGTCACTTGCGTCAGAAAAATATGACTTTAAGTTACAACTTATATTCGTAAAAAGATAAATATTAAAATAGAAATAGAAATAAACAGGGTACCAGCTCGCAAGGGAGCGGAGCACTGCGACCATGATTAATCTTTTATGCTGCAACAGACCCTAACCGAACAGAAGACATTCAGCTTTTCGAAGGAAACCCAGAATGTCAGCAGTTGAGAACTTTCTAATTTCAAAATTTTAAAAGGGGAGTGTAGTTCTCGACCCAATGATTTCTTTCTGGACCAGATCAAGACTGGGTAGTCGTAGAGAATGTGACTGAAAGTCTCGTCTGCTTCTAAGCAGAATTGAAAATTTATCTTTTTGGACAGAACCATTTTGTTAATGTAATAACGCTGTACATGGTGACCTGTTAAATATCCCACCAGCAATCCCAATTCTTAACCTAATTAACCAAATTATTAGTATTGAATAACTCATAATTTATGTAAAAATTATAAAAATGGATACAATCCTCTTAAAGATAAAGAATTTATAAAAGTTAAATATTTTAAATAGACAAATATTTTGTTTTTTTTTTCTTTTGCAAAAATACACTTTCCTAATTATTAATAAATATCATTTATTATTGTTAAATATTTATTAAATTGACGTAATATTATTCCGCAATTATGAAATTATAGATGCAATTTCTTCAAACTGCTAACGATAGACTTCTTGATAAATTTTCTTGACGGTACCTTATTGTACGGCTCACGTACGTTATTGCGCTTACTATTTTATTACAGATATTCCTCTGAAAGAGCGTAAAAAAGCAATAAAAATAATGAATTACACGCTTACAACTAAAACGTACGAAACGCATTTCCCAAAAAAAAAAAAATTAAAAAAAAAACAGTGGAAAAGCAAACATAAAATGAAGTTCATTTTGGCGCTTCTGTGAGTGGCAAAGATGCGTTATAAACACGTGACCACCCACACTCAGTGAACAGTGAATAGAAACTAAAAACAAAAACAAAAACAAAAGTAAAAGCAAAAACAAAAGCAAATACAATAAAAACTGCAATAACCAACAAGAAACACAAATGTTCTGTCAATTTTGTGTCTTTACACTAAAACAAATTCATTTACTTTTTCGTTACCTTATTTTATTCTTCATTTTCCATTTTTCATATCTCGCTTTTCCTTTTTTGCATACAAAAGCTTAAGCACATTTAATCAAAAAAAAAAAAATGCCACGAATGATCAAACAAAAAACAAAAACAAAAAAAACAGTGTTTCACAGTGAAACAGTTGCAAACATCCGTTGAGAGCAGCAACAGAATTTTGTTTTTGTTTTTGTTGCTTTTTTCTTCTTCTTCTTCTTCTTTGTACATTTTCTTTACAATGTACAAATGTTTTTTTATTGTTTTATTGCATTCTACTCATACGTACGCACGCATAAATGTATGCAAATCGCACTGATAATGCATAGAAGTTCTCGTCTCGTCTATGAACTAGATTTGATTTTTGCGGGAATCAGCGCAACAAAAAAAAACGAAAAAAAACACATAGCAATGAGCAATGCAATGCACAAGTGACGTCACATTGAAATGTCACAAATATATAGCGCGCGAATTTTACTTACTGTTCACTTAGCACGTTTGCTCGATTCGTTTATTTTTCTCTGCTTTCAGTTTTAGTTTCAGTTTTCGTTTAACATTCGTTGTGTCAGGTTGATTTCTACAGCAGTAGTTGTCGTCGTCGTCGTCGTCGTTTTTGTCGTCATCGTGCTTGTGTGCGGTACGGAGTGTTTGATGGAAAAAGTTCTTAAGTTCGTACGTTCTTAGAGCATATGTTGTAACTGCAATAAACTTGCATTTTCATTTCTATTGTGAAGAGACGTGCATAATAGCAGCGCAGCGCAGCGCAAAAGAAAGAAAAAAGAAAAGAAAAGAAAATAAAAAAACAAACGTAAATATGTCGCGCAAGGATGATCCTGTTTTTAATGTGAAATTCGTACAACTTATCGAAAAGCAACCGTGCCTTTGGAATTCCACACTTCCTGCATATAGTAAAAAGGATGAAACTGAAAGAGCTTGGCAGGAAATTGCAAGTGAAACAAAATACTCAGGTAAGTGCATTATTATTCAAATATTTTATTTAATTTAATTTCGAGTTAATTATTGAATTTTGAATTTTGTTGAATGAGATAATAAGTCTTCTTCTTACTGCACAGCTATGTATACGAGCGAATGTCATATATGTATTTTAGCGCTCGCAAAATATTGCACTTGTAACACATATGACATGAGCTTTTTGCAACACATTTTATTTTATAATACAAAAAAAAAAAAAAAAATGTTTTTTTTTGCGTGTCATTTGGTTGTTTTTTTCAATAAGTCTCTATTTTTTTTTTTGTTTTGTTTTGTTTTTTAACTTAAATATAATGCACTTTTGATTATAAGGTGTGCATATATTAATAATAAAATATGAGAATGTACACATAAATAAATAAATATAAGCATGTAAGTTTGTTTGAAACATGCATAATGTGAAAACACACACACACACACACACACATACAAACTCAAATATGCATATGTTTGCATGTAAGTTTTTTTGCATTTTTTATTTTTATTTTGCTTTATTTTTTCTTTTTTTTTTCTAACAACTTGTAGGAGTGTGCATGTATGTACACTTGTCCATCATAGACATTCGTTACTCTGCGTCGGCCTTAATAGCTGTTTTAACTATTTCGCTGTAATTGTTGTTGTTGTTTCGCTACTGTTGCTGTTATTGCTGTTGTTGCTGTCATTGCCGCTGCTGTTGTTGCTGTTGTTGTTGTTGTTATCACAGTTGTTTTTATTGTTGTTCTTATTGTTGTTGCTGTGTTTGCTAATATTGTGTTGCATTTGCCAACTTATATGCATTTTTGACGAGAGAAGCTTTTTCGTTCGCTGCTTTTGCGTTGCATTCTTTTGCATTAGAGCTTTTGCAGTATAAACCAATAAAGTTTATTTATTCAACTTTTTGTCATTTTTTGTTTTTTTTTTTCTTTTTGTTTTATTTTGTGCAATACGTATTTGTTTTTGTATTTGGCATGCATGCACGTTAAAACATATTTGCTACTTTTTTTTTTCTTTTTCTTTTTAACAAATGCGCCATAAACAGAATTCAATGTTTTAGACTTGGTTTGCCGCAATTTTGTTGAAAATTGTTTAAAGTGCGCAATATGCCAATGTGCAAAGTCGCATAATTTGTTTTTGTTTTGGTTTTTTTTTTTTGTTTTGTTTTATTTTGTTTATAATTAAACTACAATCTACTCTTAATTTTTAGAAAAGCGTCCAATTTTTGCTTTTAAAAAAATAATATAACTTTTGTTTCTAAATTATAGTTCTTTACTTTTAATTGTCTTGACAGAACATGCAAAACATAGTTCTCTTGAAGTTTTCAGAATTGAAGTTGTTATGTTTTTCTCAATTTATATAGTACAGAACGTTTAAAAAGTTTTTTCTCATCTTTTCAATTTATTACAAATCATAGAAAACATTGTTCTTTACCAACACCGCGTTATCCATTCTCAGAATGCTTAGAGGCTCCTCGTAGTGTTATGCAGATCTGAGTTCAGTTATTGCTTAGTCTGATGAAATGATAAACAATAATCCAGTCAAGACGTAAAGAGGGGTTTTGAAGAAACCTCGCAGTTAATAGAGAGTAAAAGTGCTCAAGTGCACTGACTCAACTAGCTTCAACATAAATACTTGTTCTTTATATTCTTTTATGCAAATAAAACATATAAGATATTGTTTTTCTGTTTTAAGTTCCCCTGATAGATCAGAAGTTTGTCTCCCACTGCTACTTTTGCTCTTTTACGCAAAATGCAAAATGTAGTAGACTTCCTTAAGGTTGAGTTAGTCGGTACGTACCATAAGAACTTAAACAGAAATAAAATGTAAATTTCGCTCTACTCTTAAGTGCAATTAGTCCAAACGCAAGCAACTGATTTTGTTTACATTCAAATAAGTATACTATAGTGTACGGTCGTGTGTAAGTTCGAGTAAATTGGTAAATTGTAGAAAATAGTAAATTATGTCTGTATGGCAGCGAATGTCGGTATTTACCAGAATTTCGAGTAGGGTGAAAAAAAAATTATGTATATTAGGTGTTACCAAAAATTTGATAAGATATTTAATAAATAACTTTGTAAACTTTTAACCAAAAATAATTAATAAATGCAATAAAGAAGTAAATAAATATTTACATAAGTGCAGTGCAAAAAATTCCTAAGAAATTTCAATTCACTTTACCTCAATTTACTCGAACTCGCACACGGTCTACATAAAATATATAAAACAATATATAAAATGAAATAACTTTGATTTTTTTTTTAACGAGCTAAAATTGTTTTTGTTTTTTAAAATATTTTTATATATATACTGATATTTCTACTATATTCTATAGTCATCATTAGGGTACTATATATAGAATATAGTCGAAATATCGGTTTAAAATAAAAAAAATTTTTTGAAAACAAAAACAATTTTTATAAAGTTTATTATTCAACTACTGAGCAATTAGCCCGTTAAAAAAAATAACAAAATTATTATTAAAAATATTTTGTCATTAAAGCAACTAAACATAAATTATAATAAAAATATTATAGAAAATTAAAAATATTATTGAGAAAATATTTTCATTAATATTTTACACCTCAAACAAGCTAAAGTTCTCAGTTAATCGGTATGTACCGTAAGAACTTACATCAAAACGAAATACACAGGTGTGTTTGATTGTGCAGTTTGCTTTAATTTAAGTTTTAATTTAAGTTTTAATTTATGGATCGATTATTATTAAATAAAAGGCTATGAATGCACCCCGACCTAAAAGATCTATTGTGCGCCTAGAGGTCCAACTAAAACATTTCTAGACTATTTATAAATCTCGTAATTCTGTGGGCTTAATTTTACCTATTTGGAACTAAGATCCCACTTCCAAGGTGGTCGAGTCTACGTCTTGCCGCCACTGGGCTGGGCACGTTGCACAGAATATGTTCTGATGTTTCTTTCTCGTCATGACAAAATCAACAGGAATCACTTTCTACCGCATCTATAATCTTCATGTGGTAATTAAGTCAACAGTGTCCTGTTTAGTGTAGATTTTAATATTGTTTCTGCTAAGATTAAGGATAGCGTCAACTTTGATGTGTTCAAGACCAGTGAATCTACCGCATGCCTGTTTGGGCTCACCAGTTTTCATGTAGATTTTATTTTTCCTGTTCACATAATAAGTTATTTGTGAAGCTATTTGTTACCCCGAAGAAGGGTTCTGGACCAATGAAAGGAGTGCATACACCCTTCTTTGCTAGGGAGTCTTTTATTTCATTGCCCTCATGCCCTTCATGTTCCGGTACCCACATAAGAGTACCATAGTTTCTTGATGCTAGTTACGTTGGTAAAAACCGAGACCCATCCAACCTCAGCTGATCTTTGGGTCACAGCATCAGGTGTGGAAACGTAACTCCACGCCGAATTAAAGTAAATAAATACCATCAATCTTCCTGTGTAAATTTGAGTCTTAACCACAGCTATCACGATACAACCTTAATTAGTCAAGACAGCCGAAACTGCGGGTACTGACCCCGTGGTATAAGATATACACGTCCAATCAGATGTCGCAAATGGATTTCACTCACTACCATTCACACTCCAAATAGTTTTGTATTAACGGCGGATCTTAGTCGCCTCTTACGATACGCGTGCCTTGCCTAGATAATATTCTAACCCCTTCATTACAGTGGTTATTGGTTTTAGTTGAGTTTTAAAAAGATCATTTTAAACTTGGCTTAAATAACAAAATGTTTATATTTAATTCAATGATATCATGTTCTGGACGTATACCATGCAATTATGGGACACTACTTCAAACTCAACTATAGGCAGATTTCAATAAATCAAAAACGTTAAAAAGTATCTGGAATGTGAAAAATGATCAATACAATTGAAAAGAAAATTAAAAATTTAGGTCATAATTATATATTCAGATTATCTAGATATTAAACCACCTTTATAACCCACCTGGAAAACTATTAGTAGGATACTATCCAAAGTATCATTAAATAAATCATTTTTACGATACTTAAGATTTAAAAAAAAAAATTAATTATTATTTTCACATCCTTTTGACAATTATAAGTTCAAAGTTGTGAAAACTTTGCTTATTTGGAAACTATCGTAAACACCAAACAGACAGTCAACGAAGAATCACTCTTGCCAAAGAATCACTCTCGACAAACAAAAATCACGCTCTTCAAGTCTTTTATCATATCTGTCCTACTATATGGTGCGGAAGCTTGGACAATTTCCAACAGTTATTAGAAGGTGTTACAATCATTCTAGAGAAAAATTCTTCGGAAGATTAATGGTTCCTCACGCGTTGGCGACAAGTATCGAATTAGATGAAACGATAAACTGTATGAGCTATACCGCGACATTGACTGGCTTGATCAGCTCAGGGTACAAAGGTGTTTGATTCGGCACCCATAGAGGGAAAATGCGGTAGAGGACGTTCGCGTCTTCGGTGAAAGGACCAGATGACCAACGATTTGGGGCGCTCGGTACGACCGACTAGGGAGAACAAGCAACTAATCGGGCTGGCTGGCGGAGGCAATTCGAAGCGGCCAAGGACGATCCACGTCTGTAATGACCAACTACGTAGGTATGTAAGTATGTTTGTATCAATTTTGCATCCAATATTAAGACATTATAAGCAAAAAAGTTTGAATTTTGATTTGATTTGGTGCAGGTCCATTCGTTATACCAGTAAGGTATATAGTTGTTTAAAAACATAATTATGCGCTTCAATTACTTTACCATTGATTTTAATCACTTCCTGTTTTGGTTTCAATTTAAAACTGTAAATCAAAATACAAATTTACAGACATACTACTTGCTTCAGTAGACATACATTTATTAAGAATTCGGTGTTTTCCGTAGCGATCAAATGCCTTTTCAAATTCCGTTGTGGAGTTAGTAAATTGGTTCTTACGACGAAGGACATTGGAGAAATAAATAAATAAATAATAAAAAAAATAAATAAATAAAAAATATTATTATTTATTTCTATTTAAGCCAG